TTAGCAAGACACCCCCAATAAAGGACTGGTTTTGTAGGTGGTGACCACAGACCACTTCTCAGTTCCTATGCATCCTGGCTGATGTTTTGGTCACTTTTGAATGCTGGCGGTGCTTTCACTCTAGTGGTAGCATGAGACGGAGTCTACAACCCACACAAGTGGCTCAGGTAGTGCAGCTCATCCAGGATGGCACATCAATGCGAGCTGTGGCAAGAAGGTTTGCTGTGTCTGTCAGCGTAGTGTCCAGAGCATGGAGGCGCTACCAGGAGACAGGCCAGTAAATCAGGAGACGTGGAGGAGGCCGTAGGAGGGCAACAACCCAGCAGCAGGACTGCTACCTCCGCCTTTGTGCAAGGAGGAGCAGGAGGAGCACTGCCAGAGCCCTGCAAAATGACCTCCAGCAGGCCACAAATGTGCATGTGTCTGCTCAAACGGTCAGAAACAGACTCCATGAGGGTGGTATGAGGGCCCGACGTCCACAGGTGGGGGTTGTGCTTACAGCCCAACACCGTGCAGGACGTTTGGCATTTGCCAGAGAACACCAAGATTGGCAAATTCGCCACTGGCGCCCTGTGCTCTTCACAGATGAAAGCAGGTTCACACTGAGCACATGTGACAGACGTGACAGAGTCTGGAGACGCCGTGGAGAACGTTCTGCTGCCTGCAACATCCTCCAGCATGACCGGTTTGGCGGTGGGTCAGTCATGGTGTGGGGTGGCATTTCTTTGGGGGGCCGCACAGCCCTCCATGTGCTCGCCAGAGGTAGCCTGACTGCCATTAGGTACCGAGATGAGATCCTCAGACCCCTTGTGAGACCATATGCTGGTGCGGTTGGCCCTGGGTTCCTCCTAATGCAAGACAATGCTAGACCTCATGTGGCTGGAGTGTGTCAGCAGTTCCTGCAAGAGGAAGGCATTGATGCTATGGACTGGCCCGCCCGTTCCCCAGACCTGAATCCAATTGAGCACATCTGGGACATCATGTCTCGCTCCATCCACCAACGCCACGTTGCACCACAGACTGTCCAGGAGTTGGCGGATGCTTTAGTCCAGGTCTGGGAGGAGATCCCTCAGGAGACCATCCGCCACCTCATCAGGAGCATGCCCAGGCGTTGTAGGTCATACAGGCACGTGGAGGCCACACACACTACTGAGCCTCATTTTGACTTGTTTTAAGGACATTACATCAAAGTTGGATCAGCCTGTAGTGTGGTTTTCCACTTAAATTTTGAGGGTGACTCCAAATCCAGACCTCCATGGGTTGATAAATTTGATTTCCATTGATAATTTTTGTGTGATTTTGTTGTCAGCACATTCAACTGTGTAAAGAAAAAAGTATTTCATAAGATTATTTCATTCATTCAGATCTAGGATGTGTTATTTTAGTGTTCCCTTAATTTTTTTAAGCAGTGTATATATATTTTTAAATACCCCCCTTTTTCTCCCCAATTTTGATCTTGTCTCATCGTTGCAACTCCCCAACGGGCTCAGGAGAGGCGAAGGTGGAGTCATGTGTCCTCCGAAACATGACCCGCCTAACCACGCTCCTTAACACCCGCCAGCTTAACCCGGAAGCCAGCCGCACCAATGTGTCGGAGGAAACACTGTTCAACTGGCGACAGCCTGTAGGCACCCGGCCCGCCACAAGGAGTCGCTAGGGCGCGATGAGCCAAGTTAAGCCCCCACCGGCCAAACCCTCCCCTAACCCGGATGACACTGGGCCAATTGTGCGCCGTCCTATGGGACTTCCGGCCACGGCCGGTTGTGACACAGCCCGGGAATGAACCTGGGTCTGTAGTAACACCTCTAGCACTGCAATGCAGTGCCTTAGACCGCTACGCCACTCGGGAGGCCCCCAGATTCCGCATTTTAAGGTGTGTATTTTATATTAACACTGGGGACCTTTTCTATGGTAACCATACCCTGTTGGGAATAGCTATTTGTATTCCATTATCTTCCTACAGAGAAATTCGCTGCATTTCATTGGCTAATCCCAAACATAAGAATAAGACAGTCATTTCTCAATTAGACACGGATGGTGAGGCCTATATAGAACAAGGAAAGGCTCTCTAAAAAGAGATATACACACCAGCAATTCCTCTAGTTATATAACCCCATTGGTTACGACACAAGCAGCAGTATCTTAAGGGAATCCCCTATCATGGCAGTTTTTGAATTAATATTTTACTGAAAGCTCCTCTTTGTTATTCACAGTTGTATACAGTAGTTGCTCTGCAGTCTGAACAGTACAGACTGTGACGAAACCAAACCAAGGACCTGATTTGAAATGCAAAGCAACATAACTCAACAGGAGGGATGTATTGAGGGTGGGTGAACCCAGCATCCATCCATCCATCAAGCACATTTATTTAATCTTTCTCTCCTACTTTCAAAGCAGATTCTGTACTCTCTGTTCCTTCCGACTGTTGTAAGGTGCGTAGGAGGTGGTACCAGTCAGGCAGTCAAACAGGCTTGCGTCCCAAATGGCACCCTATTCTCTAAGCAGTACACTACTTTTGACCAGGGTCCATGGGGACTACGTAGGGAATAAGGTGCCATTTGGGACGCAGGCCACATCAGGACATCTGGAAGCATTCTGATACCCAGGGAGGAAGATCCCCCTCCCCTTCTTCTTCACAGGCTCTAATTGGCTAGAAGTGAGGCAGAACTTTGCAGAGGCACTAGCTGCTGACAGGATCGCCCTCAATCACACTTTCTTTTGTTAATTAGTGGTAATAATGCACTGTTTGTTATGGTGTTGGACTTTGATGTTGTTATTTTATCTATCATACTGACTTCAATGGTCAGTGAAGGGAAATATGTTGCTTAAAAAGGATGTCAATATTGGATCGGATACTTTTCTCTTAGCGCTATCGGATTGGATCCCGGCTTTAGTCTCTTACACTTGCTTCTTGCACACTTTCCTACTGAATATCTGAAGAGATTGTTTTTAAATGGAGAATGTCGCGTCTCAACTTCTGATGCATCATTCGATTATTTAAGTTAGCACCTCTTCTCCAGTTGTTCGAACACAAAACCCCTTTTTATTAGATTGCCATGACATTTCCGCTGCAGACGTTGAGGCTTCAGTTTCTCCTCGATATTGGGTTAACCCGATAAATCCTAACAATAGAAAGACTATCCACGGCAACTAACATATCTAATAAGATATGAGCTGCATCCAAAACGAACAATAGCCAGGATAAGATGAGGGCAGATAGAGAACTGCGTGTCAAACTGTACACGTTGACACATGGACATTCATAGTGAACAACAGTGAGCTTGCATTTAACATGCCAGACAGATGAGAGGTACTGGTCCTCGTTTGAGTCCCAAATAGCACACTATTCCCTACATAATGCACTACTTGTGACCAGACCCCAATGGGCTCTGTTGAAAATGTGTGCACTAAATAGGGAATAGGGTGCCATTTGGTATGCCTTAGTTCCACACAAAGAATGACCTCATCTTTAATGGCAGTGCAGCCAGAGATCTGGAATAATGTCACCGCTCTGCATTCACCTGTGTCTCTCAGGATGTGACATCAGGACTTTGGGATACAGCATATAGAAAATAGAGTGTGTATTCACCATGATCTGACCGTCTGAGAAGAAGAGAGGGGAAACCAAAACAGGACTGTTGAGAACATTGTGCTCATGTAAACTAGTGCCTGTCTTTGGATTAAGGTTAGGCTGGGTCAGAGCTAGATATCTTATCACACACAGTATGACCCCCTTCCCGCACACACACACACACACACACTCCCCCCTCCCCTCCCCTTCCCATACTAGAATGGGGACATTCCAGGTGACTGTTGTAAGGACAGTGATAATCAATAGGAATCTGAGTCGGACACATCGCTGAGAGAGAGAGAGAGAGAGAGAGAGAGAGAGACTGGATCCTTCTTTTCCATGTATCTCTTGTTGCCAAAACGTTAGGTGTCATTCCCTGGAATCAGACTGATGTTGTCCACTTAGTTTTTTGGACGGAACAATAAACGAATGGTCTAGTTAGAAGGTCTAGGCGCACAGCCGCACACATCCTATAAATCACCACCAGCATGCAATGATACACATTCACAGCGACACACACACACTCTAACAGACTGAGGTATCTGAGTGGGTCTGGAAGCAGCGTGACAAAATATTTCATAAAACTGCCAAACACACCCGCTACAGTAAGTCTCTCTGCAGAGGACCTTCCTATTTGGCCCAGAGTATGTTATTCCTAACAGACACCAGAGCAGAAATTTGGATCATGTACCTGGAAAATTAGATCAACAGTGAGTTATGGATGGCCATGGTTATTGGGGTTTCGGTGTGTTTTAGTTCTCTAGCCTGTCATGACATGGGTGTTTTCTCACAGTGGCTAACTGACCACACAAATCACTGCCCTCGTCAGAGGAGAGGTGTGCACTATGTACTGTGTATTACTGTGAATAACAGCTAAACAAGAATAAATTACACAGCACTTTATTTATGAGCTCAACATGTTCTTAGGCTATGAACAAAGAGGCTAGAATATAACAGAACAGAACAGAATGTAAACATCAGTTTATGATGGTTAATAATATTATAAGCTTAGTGTGATACTACAAACAGAACTAGATGAAGAGCTCAGTGTTAATTACTAAGCTTTCTTCTGCAACCTCCTGGGGTTTCTTTCCTCCTGCCTGCGACTGAACCTCTTTCCCAGAGCAAGAGCAGGAGCCTGCTTTTACTGCAGTGTGACTGTGTGTGTGACTGTGTGTGTGTGTGTGTCTTCCCTCTCTCTGTGTCTGCATGTCTCTGTCTGAAAGTGTGTGTTGTGTTGAGTGTGTCTAAGTGGATGTGTGTGTGTGTTAGTGTCACCGTCTGTGTGTGTGTATAGTGCATGTCTCTATAATGAAGGGGCCATTTCCCAGCGTTCCAGCTCTCCCAGTGCCAGCAACCAACCGCCCCAGCAGAAACCACAGCACCACCGAACCTTAAGGACACAAAGAGCCCTGGTCGGTTGGCAGCTGGCTGGTCTGGGCCAGGGGCTGGGCTGGTCTGGGCCAGGGTCTGGTCTGGGCCAGGGGCTGGTCTGGTCTGGTCTGGGACAGGGGCTGGGGCTGGTCTGGGGTTTGGCGACAGCTTTGAGCACTCAGCTGTGACAGAGAGGGAGAGAGTGAGAGAGAGTAGAGAGAGTGTGTGGGGGTGGGGGGGGGGGGGGAGATAGCGAGAGAGAGAGAGAGCATTGTCTTAGAGTGAGGCCTACTCGGGGTCCAGTGATAGCAGCAAAGAAGGAATCGTGTACAAAATCCAGATGAAACTTTGTTTGGAGATTAGGACTAGCAGTACGTCTGGGTCTCAGCTGCAGTCAGCTGCTTGTGTTTGGCTCAATGGGGTGAAGCTGTGAAGGAGCTCTTACATGTGTGAATAAATGCCTCATTTACAACAAACTCACACCAGAGGAAGGAAGAGATGACCCCATGTGAGAATTGCCTGGTGGCTGGCCGGGGCAAATAAGGTTGTCATGAACATGAATGGTATTTAGAGAATGAAAAAGGATGATTTAATTGGCTGCTGGCTATTTTTTGTTTGTTGATATGGCACATTATTATAGCCTGGGTCAGTCTGTTTCTAATCTCTATAACTCCTTATGCAATCGTCATGTTTGGCTTGACAATGGAGTAGGCAAGAGCACAAACAGATCTGGGACCAGTTCCTGGTCAAAAGTAGTGCACTATAAAGGGAATAGGGTGTAATTTGGGACATAGTCTGGTACTAGAGGCTGTTGTCTTAAATGAGTCAGTTTGGATGCTGCTAGTCTCTTCTCTTTATTCCCATATCTTATCCACAGCCACCATATTCACTTCTTCCTGTTGCTTTTCTGTTTCAGTTGAAAGAGAAGTCGTTCAGAAGAGGACGTTCACACGATGGATGAATCTGCATTTGGAGAAGGTAAGTCGGTCTACAGATCAGGATTTGGGTCAATTCCATTGAAACTGAAATTACATTTACATTTTAGTCATTTAGCAGACGCTCTTATCCAGAAGGAGTTCATACTTTTTTTCCTTTTTTTTCATACTTGTCCGCCATGGGAAACGAACCCACGACCCTGGCGTTGCCAACGCCATGCTCTACCAACTGAGCTACACGGGACTACAATTACAAATGTCCTCAATGCTTCTTTATGAGAAATAATTGGAATTGGAATTTCAGTTAACTTCCTGAATTGACTGAATTGAAATGGAATTGACCCCAACCCTGCTACAGTTCAACCCAAAAAAATCCCCAAAATTAAGCCCATCTCACCACAGTACGCAGACTAATTCCTGAACCTGGGCCTATCTCACCACAGTACGCAGACTAATTCCTGAACCTGGGCCTATCTCACCACAGTACGCAGACTAATTCCTGAACCTGGGCCCATCTCACCACAGTACGCAGACTAATTCCTGAACCTGGGCCCATCTCACCACAGTACGCAGACTAATTCCTGAACCTGGGCCTATCTCACCACAGTACGCAGACTAATTCCTGAACCTGGAAATGAAGCCTATCTCACCACAGTACGCAGACTAATTCCTGAACCTGGAAATTAAGCCTATCTCACCACAGTACGCAGACTAATTCCTGAACCTGGAAATGAAGCCTATCTCACCACAGTACGCAGACTAATTCCTGAACCTGGAAATTAAGCCTATCTCACCACAGTACGCAGACTAATTCCTGAACCTGGAAATTAAGCCTATCTCACCACAGTACGCAGACTAATTCCTGAACCTGGGTTATTTTACATGTCAGAAGCACCTAATTTGTATTTTACTGCCTTTTCTCTGACAACACTTCGAGTCTATCCCTCACACAAACAAATAGTTGTTGCCTCTCCCTCTGCCATATAAATGATCGATGGATGCAGAGGAACTGCTAGTGCAGAGAGAGACAATGTAACAAATGAATTAGTCGGTAAATGCTAATCTGATAGAATGTGTAAATGTTATAATAATATAATAATATGCCATTTAGCAGACGCTTTTATCCAAAGCGATTTACAGTCATGCGTGCATATATTTTTGTGTATGGGTGGTCCCGGGGATCAAACCCACTACCCTGGTGTTACAAGCGCCGTGCTCTACCAGCTGAGCTACAGAGGACCACCAGTGGATTTACTTCCCCCTAATGCTGTATAGGTGGTACTGTGGCTGCGTCTCAAAATGGCAGCCTTTTCCTTAGATAGTGTCCATAGGACTCTGGTCAAAAGTAGTGCACTATATAGGGAAAATGGTGCCATTTGGGACGCGGTCATCAGTCATCAGACATCAGACATACCCACTTTAGCTGTTTAGCATCATCAAACGAAGACTGAAATGTGATTACATTTTTACATCATCAGGGCTGTTGAAAAATGAACTCTCCTCTCCTCTCCTCTCCTCAGTGCACTCCTCCGATGGAGGTGAATGACCTGTTCAGAGATATTCAGGATGGAAGGATACTCATGGCTCTGCTGGAGGAACTGTCCGGATGCAAGCTGGTGAGATTTCCCTTTCAAACAATATTACACCATCCACACAGTATTCAGTTAGTGGTGGTTTGTTGTTTCATGTGTATGCGTCCCAAATTAGACCCTATTTCCTATGGGCACTATGTAGGGAGGTAGTGCTGATTAATGACTGTGATTGTGTCACAAATGGCACCCTATTCCCTATGTAGTACACTACTTTTGACCAAAGCCCTATGGGCCCTGGTTAAAAGTAGTGCACTATATTGGGAATAGGGTGCCAATTGTGAGGCAAGCCATGGATATGCTTGATATGGAGAAGTCATGTGTTAAAGATTGTGTTTGAGTTTGTGATCAGTAGCTAACTAACAACACACCTGTTGATCATTGTATGGTGGATGTCCTCCTCCAGCTTCATGGATGGAAGCAGTCCTCACATCGTATCTTCAGACTGAACAACATCGCTAAGGTCCTTACCTTCCTGGAGGAGAGAAATGTGAGTATCACAGCCAATCACCTATGAATATCACAGGCAATCACTTATGAATATCACAGGCAAGACTGGATGTGTGTTTTTTTTTAAATATTGATATTGTAAAATTAACAGCCAAACAGAAAGACTCATGTGAAGGTGAAATTACAGAGGAGGAACTTCTGGATGCAATTAAAGACCAGGGTTGGATGGCATACCAGTCGAAGTATACCAAACCTTTTTTGATCTACTAAGAGGACCGCTATTAGCATGTTTTAACCACTCCTATGTAAATAGTAGATAATCTGACACTCAAGAAGAAGATCTCATTATTACTGAAACAGGATACAAGTGGAAAATATAAAGATCCAGTCCATTAAAAAAATTGGAGGCCCCTTACACTTCAGTGTTGTGATGCAAAAATGTTAGCAAAATGTATAGTGCATAGAATTAAAAAGGTATTGTCGGATATTATTCATTCTAATCAGACAGGTTTTTTACAAGGAAGATACATTGGAGATAATATAAGGAAAGTATTGGAAACAATAGAACATTATGGAAAATCGGAGAAACCAGGCCTGCTATTCATAGCAGACTTTGAAAAGGCATTTGATAAAGTACGACTGGGGTTTATATATAAATGCCTGGAGCATTTCAATTTTGGTGAATCTCTTATAAAATGGGTCAAAATCATGTATAGTAACCCTAGGTGTAAAATAGTAAATAATGGCTATTTCTCAGAAAGTTTTAAACTGTCAAGAGGAGTGAAACAAGGTTGTCCACTATCGGCATATCTATTTGTTGTGGCCATCGAGATGTTAGCTATTAAAATCAGATCCAACAATAATATCAAGGGATTAGAAATCCAGGGCTTAAAAACAAAGGTGTCATTGTACGCTGATGATTCATGTTTTCTTTTAAATCCACAGCTAGAATCCCTACACAGCCTCATAGAGGATCTAGATAAATTTTCTAACCTCTCTGGATTACAACCAAATTATGACAAATGTACTATATTACGTATTGGATCAATAAAAAATACAATTTTTACATTGCCATGTAGTTTACCAATAAAATGGTCTGATGGTGATGTGGATATACTCGGAATACATATCCCAAAGGAAATAAATGATCTTACTTCAATAAATTATAATAGAAAGTTAGCAAAAATAGATAAGATCTTGCTACCATGGAAAGGTGGGTGCCTGTCAATTTGTGGAAAAATCACCCTGATTAACTCTTTAGTATTATCCCAGTTTACCTATTTGCTTATGGTCTTGCCTACGCCTAGCGAACAGTTTTTTTTAAATTATATGAGAAAAAAATATTCCATTTGATTTGGAACGGCAAGCCAGACAAAATTAAACGGGCCTATTTATATAATGAATATGAATTCGGAGGACAGAAATTATTAAATATTAAAGCATTAGACCTATCACTAAAAGCTTCAGTCAAACAAAAGTTATACTTAAATCCGAACTGGTTCTCTAGCAAATTAGTAAGATTGTCTCACCCAATGTTCAAGAATGGCCTTTTTCCCTTTATTCAGATTAAAACCACTCACTTTCAGTTATTTGAAAAGGAATTCATCTCCCAGATATCACTATTTCTAAAACAAGCCATAGAAAGTTGGTTGCAATTTCAATTTAATCCTCCAGAAACGACAGAACAAATAATGCAACAAATATTGTGGTTAAAGTCAAATATACAAATTGACAAAAAACCTTTTCTTTTGACAAAATGTTTAAAAAAGGTATAATCTTTGTAAATGATATCATCGGTAGGACTGGTGGAGTTATGTCGCACATGCAGCTAACAAAAAAGTCTGCTCTACCCAAAATTACAACCAAATAATTGCAGCCTTACCGCAAAAATGGAAGAGGAAAGTGGAAGGAGGAGAAAGTAAGGAACTTGTCTGTTGGCCTTGCATTAAAAAACATAATTGGTTAAGGAAAACTATGATAAATAAAAAGGTATATCAGTTTCATTTAAGGACCAAGGGATTGACAGCTGTCCCATATACAGTGGGGGAAAAAAAGTATTTAGTCAGCCACCAATTGTGCAAGTTCTCCTACTTAAAAAGAGGAGAGAGGCCTGTAATTTTCATCATAGGTACACGTCAACTATGACAGACAAATTGAGATTTTTTTTTCCTGAAAATCACATTGTAGGATTTTTAATGAATTTATTTGCAAATTATGGTGGAAAATAAGTATTTGGTCACCTACAAACAAGCAATATTTCTGGCTCTCACAGACCTGTAACTTCTTCTTTAAGAGGCTCCTCTGTCCTCCACTCGTTACCTGTATTAATAGCACCTGTTTGAACTTGTTATCACTATAAAAGACACCTGTCCACAACCTCAAACAGTCACACTCCAAACTCCACTATGGCCAAGACCAAAGAGCTGTCAAAGGACACCAGAAACAAAATTGTAGACCTGCACCAGGCTGGGAAGACTGAATCTGCAATAGGTAAGCAGCTTGGTTTGAAGAAATCAACTGTGGGAGCAATTATTAGGAAATGGAAGACATACAAGACCACTGATAATCTCCCTCGATCTGGGGCTCCACGCAAGATCTCACCCCGTGGGGTCAAAATGATCACAAGAACGGTGAGCAAAAATCCCAGAACCACACGGGGGGACCTAGTGAATGACCTGCAGAGAGCTGGGACCAAAGTAACAAAGCCTACCATCAGTAACACACTACACCGCCAGGGACTCAAATCCTGCAGTGCAAGACGTGTCCCCCTGCTTAAGCCAGTACATGTCCAGGCCCGTCTAGAGTGCATTTGGATGATCCAGAAGAGGATTGGGAGAATGTCATATGGTCAGATGAAACCAAAATAGAACTTTTTGGTAAAAACTCAACTCGTCGTGTTTGGAGGACAAAGAATGCTGAGTTGCATCCAACGAACACCATACCTACTGTGAAGCATGGGGGTGGAAACATCATGCTTTGGGGCTGTTTTTCTGCAAAGGGACCAGGACGACTGATCCGTGTAAAGGAAAGAATGAATGGGGCCATGTATTGTGAGATTTTGAGTGAAAACCTCCTTCCATCAGCAAGGGCATTGAAGATGAAACGTGGCTGGGTCTTTCAGCATGACAATGATCCCAAACACACCGCCCGGGCAACGAAGGAGTGGCTTCGTAAGAAGCATTTCAAGGTCCTGGAGTGGCCTAGCCAGTCTCCAGCTCTCAACCCCATAGAAAATCTTTGAAGGGAGTTGAAAGTCCGTGTTGCCCAGCGACAGCCCCAAAACATCAATGCTCTAGAGGAGATCTGCATGGAGGAATGGGCCAAAATACCAGCAACAGTGTGTGAAAACCTTGTGAAGACTTACAGAAAACATTTGACCTGTGTCATTGCCAACAAAGGGTATATAACAAAGTATTGAGAAACTTTTGTTATTGACCAAATACTTATTTTCCACCATAATTTGCAAATAAATTCATTAAAAATCCTACAATGTGATTTTCTGGATTTATTTTTCTCATTTTGTCTGTCATAGTTGACGTGTACCTATGATGAAAATTACAGGCCTCTCTCATCTTTTTAAGTGGGAGAACTTGCACAATTGGTGGATGACTAAATACCTTTTTTCCCCACTGTAGATTGCAAAATAGTTGGAAAGAGATTTTTGACGTATCGATCCCATGGTATAGTGTTTATGAACTGATACGCAAAACGACACCGGATTCAAAACTTAGAATCTTTCAATTTAAATTATTATATAAAATTATTGCTACCAATAGAATGTTATTTATATGGGGAATACAATATTCCCAGCTCTGCAGATTTTGCTGCGAAGAGACAGAATCATTAGATCATTTGTTTTTGTACTGTCCATTTGTAGCTTGTTTTTGGACACAGGTCCAGGAATGGCTAAAGGATTGCAATATTTACCTGGAGCTAACCCTGCAGATCGCACTACTGGGTGATCTGAAAAGTCATAGTCAATCGATCAATAACATAATAATATTATTAGCAAAAATGTTTATTTTCAATTCACAATCTGTAGAAACAATGAGAAGAGAAAGGTTCAGAACTTTTGTAAGACATCACAGTACAGTTGAAATATATATGGCAAATAGAAATCCTATATGGATGGTGTTAAAAGATAGATGGGAGGTGTTGAATGGAATTGAAGGATGGGACTAATAACAGCTTTTGTGAAGGAGCACAGTTAGAAAGATATGGCATATGGAGGCAAGCCGGATGGACATCATGGAAATGATCGGAGAGGTTGAGAGTAGAGTAGTTCAGGAGAAAGAACAAACAAAATATAATTACTGTAAAATTGACTGTGTCCATAAAATGTAGATAGTGGGTATGGGCTGGAAGTGGAGGCCTAGGCGTTGTTGTTCACTAGTTTACTCCAAGTGGGGAAAGGGTGGCGGGGTTGGAAAGTAATAAAGGGGAATATACAGTGGGGAGAAGAAGTATTTGATACACTGCCGATTTTGCAGGTTTTCCTACTTACAAAGCATGTAGAGGTCTGTAATTTTTATCATAGGTACACTTCAACTGTGAGAGACGGAATCTAAAACAAAAATCCAGAAAATCACATTGTATGATTTTTAAGTAATTAATTTGCATTTTATTGCATGACATAAGTATTTGATACATCAGAAAAGCAGAACTTAATATTTGGTACAGAAACCTTTGTTTGCAATTACAGAGATCATACGTTTCCTGTAGGTCTTGACCAGGTTTGCACACACTGCAGCAGGGATTTTGGCCCACTCCTCCATACAGACCTTCTCCAGATCCTTCAGGTTTCGGGGCTGTCGCTGGGCAATACGGACTTTCAGCTCCCTCCAAAGATTTTCTATTGGGTTCAGGTCTGGAGACTGGCTAGACCACTCCAGGACCTTGAGATGCTTCTTACGGAGCCACTCCTTAGTTGCCCTGGCTGTGTGTTTCGGGTCGTTGTCATGCTGTAAGACCCAGCCACGACACATCTTCAATGCTCTTACTGAGGGAAGGAGGTTGTTGGCCAAGATCTCGCGATACATGGCCCCATCCATCCTCCCCTCAATACGGTGCAGTCGTCCTGTCCCCTTTGCAGAAAAGCATCCCCAAAGAATTAAGTTTCCACCTCCATGCTTCACGGTTGGGATGGTGTTTTTGGGGTTGTACTCATCCTTCTTCTTCCTCCAAACACGGCGAGTGGAGTTTAGACCAAAAAGCTCAATTTTTGTCTCATCAGACCACATGACCTTCACCCATTCTTCCTCTGGATCATCCAGATGGTCATTGGCAAACTTCAGACGGGCCTGGACATGCGCTGGCTTGAGCAGGGGGACCTTGCATGCACTGCAGGATTTTAATCCATGACGGCGTAGTGTGTTACTAATGGTTTTCTTTGAGACTGTGGTCCCAGCTCTCTTCAGGTCATTGACCAGGTCCTGCCGTGTAGTTCTGGGCTGATCCCTCACCTTCCTCATGATCATTGATGCCCCACGAGGTGAGATCTTGCATGGAGCCCCAGACCGAGGTTGATTGACCGTCATCTTGAACTTCTTCCATTTTCTAATAATTGCGCCAACAGTTGTTGCCTTCTCACCAAGCTGCTTGCCTATTGTCCTGTAGCCCATCCCAGCCTTGTGCAGGTCTACAATTTTATCCCTGATGTCCTTACACAGCTCTCTGGTCTTGGCCATTGTGGAGAGGTTGGAGTCTGTTTGATTGAGTGTGTGGACAGGTGTCTTTTAAACAGGTAACGAGTTCAAACAGGTGCAGTTAATACAGGTAATGAGTGGAGAACAGGAGGGCTTCTTAAAGAAAAACTAACAGGTCTGTGAGAGCCGGAATTCTTACTGGTTGGTAGGTGATCAAATACTTATGTCATGCAATAAAATGCAAATTAATTACTTAAAAATCATACAATGTGATTTTCTGGATTTTTGTTTTAGATTCCATCTCTCACAGTTGAAGTGTACCTAGATAAAAATTACAGACCTCTATATGCTTTGTAAGTAGGAAAACCTGCAAAATCGGCAGTGTATCAAATACTTGTTCTCCCCACTGTATATGTGTGTGTATATATATATATATATATATATATATATATATATATATATATATATATATATATAAAAACATGGGGGATTGGAAGTGATGCAGACAATTACATTGATGGAAATTACAATCTATCTGCAATATTAAGCTGATCTACCCCCATTAAAAAAAAGAAAAGAAAAGAAAAAAAGACTGGATGTGTCTAATAAATATCTTGAAATTGTAAAAGAGGGTTCGGAAAAGCAGCTTAATACCCTTCAATGATATTTGTTTGAAATCTTGTTTAGCGTATTAGCCAGTCCCTCCAGAATTTCCCAGGGATTTTTTGTGATATTTGCGGGCAATAATGCTTGATATTGCTGCGGCAATTCTTGCCAATTTGTTGCGAAAATGCGCTGACGAGTAAAAAGGTTTGGTGACGTGTGGCTTCATTGAACCATATTATGAGGTAAATGTGCAATGATTGGTTGACATTGCGAGCCCTCTTTTTGTACGGCGGTGATGGGTCAGTTTTATGCGCTAATATTGTGATGATTAGACTGTTTTATGCAGAAACAGTGCGTGATTGGTCACATTTGCAAGCCCTCGCATAATATGCGGGAAAGCCCTCGCAGAAGGGACTGACTAGCACACCACAACTGTCTAAACATCCTGTTGATTGGTTGGATTGTTTACCTGGGTGTGTTTACCTGCGCAGGTGAAGCTGGTCAGTATTGACGCTGCAGATGTTGCCGATGGCAACTCTTCCATCGTTCTCGGACTTATCTGGAATATCATCCTGTTTTTCCAGGTAAACTTTATTTCTCTCTTCCTCTCTATCCCCTCTCTCTCTCTAGAAGATACCTCTCTCTCTTTCCTTCTCTGTCTTTTCTTACCTCTGTCTTTCCACTGCTCTCTCTCTCTCTCTCTCTCTCTCTCTCTCTCTCTCTCTCTCTCTCTCTCTCTCTCTCTCTCTCTCTCTCTCTCTCTCTCTCTCTCTCTCTCTCTCTCTCTCTCTCTCTCTCTCTAGAATATATTAAAATCATGAAATAAGGGCCTCCTCTGTCTCTCAGATCAAGGAGCTGACAGGGAACATTAAGAGCAAGTTCCCCTCATCCTCCAGCCTCTCCTCGCTCCCCACCAGCTCAGACTCCGACACCTCCCACTCCAGCACGCCCTCTGATGAGAGGCCGCGCTCCATCGCCATGAGGGATCATGGGAAGCCCATCAAGACGCTCCTGCAGTGGGTCCAGAGACGAACCAGGAAGTGAGTGGTGATTGGACAGCAATCATATATCAAATTCATAAGAGATGATCTCACAAATCGGATAGGTTATTTGATTAACCTGAAAGTCCAGTACAGGCAACAGCAAATACAGTACTATACATACACACAAGTTTGAAAGTTTGACTGCAATGCAGTTTTGCCAGACATCATGTTTAAGTGTTGTTGCTGACTTGCTGAGTCCTGTCTGTCTGTCTGTGTGTGTGTGCGTGCGTGTGTCAGGTACGGTGTGGTGGTGCAGGACTTTGGGAAGAGCTGGACCAGTGGGCTGGCCTTCCTGGCTGTCATTAAGTCTATAGACCCCAGCCTGGTGGACATGAGGAGAGCTCTGCTGAGGACAGCCAGGGAGAACCTAGAGGAGGCCTTCAGGACAGCCCACTACAGCCTGGGCATACCCAGACTACTGGAACCAGAGGGTCAATTATTCAATTCAATTCCAACTCAGTTCAATTAAATAAGACTTTATTCATTCCCACAAGGGGCAAATATGCTAGCCTGGTCCCAGATCAGTGTGTGCTGTATAGCCAACTCCTATGGCTGTTGTCATGCCAAACTGTTTGACATTACAGTGGCCATGGATAGCAGTTGACAAGACAGCACAAGCAGATCTGGAACCAGGCTACAATTATGCTGGACAAGCAGTGTCAATTAGAAGATTTTCGACTAGTCCGTTGTCCCTCTTTTATAATTCCCACTTTAAAATCTCCATAGATGTTACCATCAACCCTCCAGACGAGCAGTCCATCATGACCTATGTGTCCCAGTTCCTTGAGCACTTTCCTGGGATGGAGGAGGTGAGAGAGGCTGCATAGTGTGCATAGGGCTCTGGCCAAAAGTATGCACTATATAGGGAGTAGGGTGCCAATTGGAACATATTCAGAGTCTGCATGACAACCATCTAATGATCAAAATATGATATGTAGATACAAACCACCGATGAACCTGATCTCTCCTAGAGAGAAGAGAGAAGAGAGAAGAGAGAGCATATATATCGGATCTCGATCTGAGGCATATTATATCTCTCTCCTTCTCTCTCTCTCTCGCTCTCTCTCTCCTCTCTCTCTCTCGCTCTCTCCTCTCTCAGCCACCAGGAAAATGTATCTGATGTGATACAGAGGAGTGTGTCGTCAGGCAGACTCAGCTGTCGCGTCAACGACTCCTCCCACGACCTGAGGAATGGCGTCCACCGGAGCCGGGACAGAGAGAGGCCCTACGTGGTCCGGAGAGACTGGGTCCAGCCCCCACCCAAAATCTTCATCTCCTCCGTCTCCGAGGAGCTCAAGTCTCCCACGTCCCCGCCCGCGGTGGAGCGTTCCTGGGTCAACGATGGCTCGTCGGTAGGGTCCACCCCCAAGCCCTGTCTTCACTGTCTCCACCTCCAGCTCCCCGCAGCCCTCCTTCGTCGACTCGGTCATCGGCTCTGTGTCCTGCGACTCACCAATCAGTGACTCTGTCGTCGGTTCGCCAGACTCCTGCTGGGAGGGCCATCCAAATGAGGCGGTGACTCCAGACAGGTTTGTGGAGAGCCATAGCGACGGGTCGCTATGCGACAGCGGGGTATCCTGGGACATGAACATCCCTCCCTCCACCCCTCAGGGGATCACGCCCGACCTGGAGGAGCCGTTGCCGTTGGTTATGGGGCTGACGAGGAAACCCCAGGATGAGGAACAGGACGTGATTCCGAAGCTGTTTATTGACGAGGGAAACAACTCTCTGAGCTCAGTGGAGAGCACACAGGACAGGTCCAGAACACACCCAGAGAGAGAGGAGAACTGGGGGAAGACAGAGGAGGAGGAGGGGGAGAAGAAAGAGGAGGAGGAGGAGGTGTATAGCTACATTCTGGACTTGAGTGAGGACAAGGCAGCCAAGCAGGAGCCTGATCAAAGAGAAGGAAAGAACAAAACAGAGAGCACAGAAAGTGACTCAGAACTAATGAACACAAGTACAGGTCAGAGTAACAGAGTCAACGAGGAGAAGGGGCGGCCATCTTTAGAGCTCTCTGACGAGCCTCAGGAAACTGACTCTGACCAGAAGAGTGAGAGTGTGTGTGGGGGTGAGAGTGTGTGTGAGGGTGAGAGTGTGTGTGAGGGTGAGGGAGGAGGAGCTGTGTGTTCTCCTCAACATGAGGAAATCAGCCAATCAAAGCAGGGCTCTGACATCACACAGCAGGAAGAGCCCAATCAGCAGGACAGTATCCCGGAGATGACAGACAGGACATCAGAATGTGCCAAGAATGAAACGGCGGAACCATCTACAGATTCCAGGAAGGCTGGAAACCCTGAGGAAGAGTTAGCTAAGGAACGTTCAGATAAAGCAGAGGGTCAAAGTGATGTGACTGACGGAGTAGAGATGGAATACAGACAGACTACATCAGAGAGGGACAGAGATGGGGAGCGGTCCCTGGCGGGGTCAGAGGAAAGGCACAAGCAGGTCACAGAAGAGTCTGAAACACAAGAGAAGATAAAAGATGTTCCGAATGGCCACATAGAGTCACAGGAGAACACTACGACTCAGGTTAATGATGTCACAGAGTCGACGCATCCACAACCATATATGGAGATGGACCAGAGTCGGACCATCCTGGGGGGCCCCTCAGAACAATGTCTGGACCCAGTGGAGCAGAGCCATACTGGGCAAACTCCAGCCTGCACAGATGGTGGGCAGAGTTCCACATTCCTAACAGAGGCCGGTAAGGAAGGGAACCATAGCCCAGAGATAGAGGCGGAAGCTGGGGATGAAGACCCAGACCTGTGTGGGCCCCCTGGAGGTGGCTTGGTTGAGAGGACTGAGAAGTGTGAGAGGGCCTCTTGTGGTGGAGATGCTGAAGTGAATGTGGTAGCTCCTAAGGAGAAGGGAGGGGCAGAAAAGGAACATGACAGGGTGGATGCTACTGGGTCTGGGGCCAGAGACAACACAGAGACAGTAGTGGAGGTCCCCCATCAGGGCAAGCTAGTTTCCATTATACCCCTTGACATGGTGTACTACCCACACTATGACGTCCCCATCTCCCAGGTCATCGAGGCCTTTGTGGAGCCTAACCCTGGATCGGTCCTCACTGGGCTGGTTCCTCAGGCGGTACTGCCTAGCCAGGAGGAGAGAGACTCAGAGAAGGACACAGGGGATCATACTGATGGCGGTCATAGTGAGACAGAGGCCTCTGCTGTTGAAGAGACAGCGGACAAAATGGCCTGACCCAGAACAGAGTGAAACCAAGCCTGTGAATGTGACCTATACAGACACTGAGAGGAGGGGTGCTTTGGAGTCTGAAAGTGAACCGATAGTCTTGTTCTATACAGACAGTGATGCTGACGAGAGTTCTAGATCTGCCCTTGAGGAGCCAATGACAGTGAGGGACACTCTGGAGCCCATGGATCTGTTCTACCCGGATACAGATGATTGTGGCCCTGTAGAGGAACCAGAGAACGACGTGGAGACATCGCCGTGGTCCTCCTCCTTCAGCAAGTCAGTAGAGACCTGGCCCTCAACCTTCAGTGTGGCAGCTCTAAAACCAGCACCGTCCTCAGAACCAGAACCACTGCCAGAGATACACACAAACTCACACACGCATAGCCAGACGGACTCACACACACACAGCGGTCCAGACTCACACACACATAACGAGCTGGATCAAGAGGAACTCCGAGAGGTGTCAACCACACAGGAGCAGGAGGTAATCCAGTGTTCATGGAAGGTGATGGACAGATATCTCTGTGTGTGTGTGTGTGTGTGTGTGTGTGTGTGCAGTGACTTCACCTTGTGTATGTACATAGTGATCCAAGCAACACCAGACAACATCAAAACGACGTGACATTTCACACATAAACACAAGGTCAGGTCACTGTCTACATGTAATTACAATCTGTCTCAGATGGCACCCTATTCCCTATATGGTGTACTACTTCCATCTGAGACGCAGACAGATTATGACCTATGGGGCCTGGTCAAAAGTAGTGCACTATAAAGGGAACAGGATGCCATTTGGGATGCACCCTGTGTCTGCATGTATTATCATTATTACCATGTCATCTTGTTTTTCTGGGTGTCTGATAATGTATGTAGTGTTTGTTCCTGTATGTTCTGACCCACATCTCAACCACCATGAATGATTGATAGGCCAGAGGAGCAGAGGAAGATAGATAGTGTATTTAGAGAGCGCTGCGACGTGAAAAACCCTCTGAATCTAGATCACATCATCTGCATACCAAGCTCATATATTTATCAGTCATTTTATAAGCTTGGGGCAGTGACCGTGAATCAATCATTAGAACATGATCAATGATTTAACGAGTTATAGAGTAGTTAGTTGTTAGAGAATTAGTGATATTTTTATGCTACTCTACATTTTACATTTACATTTACATCATTTAGCAGATTACTTTATACTATTCCAGGTATTCTTTAAAGAGGTAGGGCTTCAAGTGTCTCCGGAAGGTGGTCAGTGACTCCGCTGTCCTGGCGTCGTGGGGGAGCTTGTTCTACCATTGGGGTGCCAGAGCAGCAAATAGCTTTGACAGGGCTGAGCGGGAACTGTGCTTCTGTAGGGGTAGGGGAGCTAGCAGGCCAGAGGTGGATGAACGTAGTGCCCTCGTTTGGGTGTAGGGTCTGATCAGAGCCTGAAGGTAAGGAGGTGTCGTTCCCCTCACAGCTCCGTAGGCAAGCACCATGGTCTTGTAGTAGATGCGAGCTTCAACTGGAAGCCAGTGGAGTGTGTGGAGGAGCGGGGTGACATGAGAGAACTTGGGAAGGTCGAACACCAGACGGGCTGCGGCGTTCTGGATATGTTGTAGGGGTTTAATGGCACAGGCAGGGAGCCCTGCCAACAGCGAGTTGCAGTAATCCAGACGGGAGATTACAAGTGCCTGGATTAGGACCTGTGCCGCTTTCTGTGTAAGGTAGGGTCGTACTCTGCAAATGTTGTAGAGCATGAACCTGCAGGATCGGGGTCACCGCTTTGATGTTAGCGGAGAACGACAGGGTGTTGTCCAGGGTCACGCCAAGGCTCTTTGCACTCTGGGAGGAGGACACAATATATTTATAAGGCTCTTTTATCGCTACCCAACACCATCCATCTTCACTCTCTAATCTCTCCCCTCTGACTGTGTTACCAGGACATTGAGGTGAGAGGGGGCTCTGGTGGATCAGACCCCCAGGAACGGTGCTCCATGCTGGGTGAGAAGACGGCAGGAGACGGGGGTGTGGTGGAGGTGGAGATGGAGATGGAGACCCACCGTGGGCCTGGCTCTGCTGCTGCCAGAGAAAGCAACGAGACCGTGAGGTAGGAGGCTATTCTTAGGTCCCTGGTTCAGCAGAGGCTTTTGTCCCAAATGGCACCGTATTCCCCCTTATAGTGCACTACTTTTGACCAAGGCTCTGCACAAAAGTAGTGCACTAAAATAGAAATACAATAGGTTTCATTTGGGACACAGCCTGAGAAACAGCACAGAACATTACTCTGGAGGAAAGAAATTACAGCAGTGAAGGACATGACTTCAGAACTGTCAGAGCAAATTGCCTTAAAAGTACTAAATGAAACATTTTAAGGAATCTACTCTGGCTGGTCATAGAAATTAGTAGAGGTTCCAAGCAATTCAAATGAATTACATAATGTATGCTGATGATGACTGGTTCTGACATGTTTTATTATAATACTAAAGTTTTTTTTTTTCTCTTGGCTTTAATTAGGGAAATGTACTGTATGTTACTGCATGTCATTGTGCAAACAATAGCTGTAGAAACATGATGTTGTCTTTGTTCTGAATGAGAGCGTTCATACATTTTTTATCTAGAAGAAACATAAACATAGCATAAACTCTCTTTCACGTTCTCTCTGTCTCTCTCTTTCAACTTTTCTATGTCTATTTTTCTCTCTCGCTCTCTTTCTCTCTTTCTGAACAGGAGGAAAGCTGACAGTGACGGAACCCTATATGAACACTGTTCTATGTGTTCTATTCCTCTCCACCAGAGGAAGAGGAATGGCTCCAATGAGGTTTGTTGCAAAACATTTCAGATATTTTGTAAGGAAATAGAATTCTTACCTATATACATATTATACCATACGATGAAATACCTGTTATTTTATCATCATTACTCATGTGTTTTGGATTGTAATACTCAATCCTCTGTCCCGTAGAGGGACAATCAGAAAAGTGTGGCATCCAGCCGAACTCACTGTACCAAGTCTGACACCAGGTATGAATAAGTCAGTAGGTCTCTAGCCCAGAAGGGCTGGGTGTAGCATGGCTATATTTGCAGTTATAGGCTCTTGTCTGCAAAACAGCGGTTTGTGGCACGAACCGTTGCTCTCTTGCTCATTTGACACTGGGTTGGGTGGGGCTCGTCATCTAGTTCTTGTGTGAGTGTTGAGGTGAGGCGTCACAGGAGTCTGAGGGTGTTTTCACATATAGGCCTCTTTAAAATAACTGATCTCAGTCCTCTTTAAAGTGTACTCTGGGGTAAAAAGAAAGCTCAAGAACTCAGTTCTCTTTGTATTCACACTGCCCTTGCCTTTGAATGAGGACTCAACTCTTTTGCCAGTTCACTTCACCAATTTTGTGGTCCGAGTCCTCTTTGCATTCACATTGCTCTGTTTAGAAAGGAACCAAGATCTTTTTCCAACATTCACTCAATGCACTCTGGGTTTTTACCATGTGCAGGACAAGCAAATTCCATCAGACAGCTAGAAATACAATATATATATATATATATATATATACAAAAGTATGTGGACACCCCTTCAAATTAGTGGATTCGGCTACACTCACTACCGAGTTCCAAACTGCCTCTGGAAGCAAGGTTAGCACAATAACTGTTTGTTGGGAGCTTCATGAAATGGGTTTCCATGGCAAAGCAGCCGCAAACAAGCCGAACATCACCATGCACAATGCCATGCGTCGGCTGGAGTGGTGTAAAGCTTGCCACCATTGGCCTCTGGAGCAGTGGAAACGCGTTCACTGGAGTGATGAATCAAGCTTCACCATCTGGCAGTCCGACGGACAAATCTGGGTTTGGCGGATGCCAGGAGAACACTACCTGCCCGAATGCATAGTGCCAACTGTAAAGTTTGGTGGAGGAGGAATAATGAACTGGGGCTGTTATTCATGGTTCGGGCTAGGCCCCTTAGTTCCAGTGAAGGGGAATCTTAACGTTACATCATTCAATGACATTCTAGACAATTCTGTGCTTCCAACTTTGTGGCAAAAGTTTGGGGAAGGACCTTTCCTGTTTCAGCATGACAACGCCCCCGTGCACAAAGCGAGGTCCATACAGAAACAGTTTGTTGAGATCGGTGTGGAAGAACTTGACTGGCCTGCACAGAGCCCTCAACCCCATCGGACACCTTTGGGATGAACTGGAATGCCGACTGCGAGCCAGGCCTAATCGCCCAACATCAGTGCCCGACCTCCCTAATGCTCTTGTGGCTGAATGGAAGCAAGTCCCCACAGCAATGTTCCAACATCTAGTGGAAAGCCTTCCCTGAAGAGTGGAGGCTGTTATAGCAGCAAAGGGGGACCAAGTCCATATTATGGAATGAGATGTTCGACGAGCAGGTGTCCACATACTTTTGGTCATGTAGTGTACCTACTTACATTTTGGAAGCTGATAGATTGCGTTTAGTTAAAAGATTAGATAATAATTGTAATCAGAAGATACTATTAACATGTAAATATTATTGGTAACAGAATAAATAGTAGAAGAATAACTGCAGATGAAATAATGCTGTAATTGACAAGCTAGAATAGAATTTTGTACCATATGTTGTGATTCTCATCAAATATGTTGTCTTCTCACACTATTCAAACCTCAATAAAATAAACAGCTTCTGAAGTGATCTTAGCCTATAGATCACATATTGCAAACAAATAATCTGAACTAAAAACTATCTTTGACAATCGCAATCAAAATAAAAAAAACAGCACACATTTTTTCTGTGAAGCTGCACATCATCTTTTCTCTTTTGTGGCACCAATGGCAGGGGAAACGGTGTTGCAGTAGTCTAGTGTGAGGCGTTATGGCAGGGGAAACGGTGTTGCAGTAGTCTAGTGTGAGGCGTTATGGCAGGGGAAACGGTGTTGCTTTAGTCTAGCGTGAGGCGTTATGTCAGGGGAAACAGTGTTGCAGTAGTCTAGTGTGAGGCGTTATGTCAGGGGAAACGGTGTTGCAGTAGTCTAGTGTGAGGCGTTATGGCAGGGGAAACGGTGTTGCAGTAGTCTAGCGTGAGGGGTTATGGCAGGGGAAACGGTGTTGCAGTAGTCTAGTGTGAGGCGTTATGGCAGGGGAAACGGTGTTGCTTTAGTCTAGCGTGAGGCGTTATGTCAGGGGAAACGGTGTTGCAGTAGTCTAGTGTGAGGCGTTATGTCAGGGGAAACGGTGTTGCAGTAGTCTAGTGTGAGGCGTTATGGCAGGGGAAACGGTGTTGCTTTAGTCTAGCGTGAGGCGTTATGGCAGGGGAAACGGTGTTGCAGTAGTCTAGTGTGAGGCGTTATGGCAGGGGAAACGGTGTTGCAGTAGTCTAGCGTGAGGGGTTATGGCAGGGGAAACGGTGTTGCAGTAGTCTAGTGTGAGGCGTTATGGCAGGGGAAACGGTGTTGCAGTAGTCTAGTGTGAGGCGTTATGTCAGGGGAAACGGTGTTGCAGTAGTCTAGCGTGAGGGGTTATGGCAGGGGAAACGGTGTTGCAGTAGTCTAGTGTGAGGCGTTATGGCAGGGGAAACGGTGTTGCAGTAGTCTAGTGTGAGGCGTTATGGCAGGGGAAACGGTGTTGCAGTAGTCTAGTGTGTGGTGTGGGAATATTGACAAGGGAACCTGGGGAGCTTTATGTTCACATTGGCCTAAAAAAGGGAACCGGACCACAGAATTCAAGCGAACCGAACAGAACACCTCTCGAAGGTCTCAGTTGGTTTCGCTTCAGGGGCTCTTTTGAGGTTTCTGAGTTCCTTTGGAGTGTTCACACTGCACAAGAAATTAAGGGAACCACACTGAGTTCACAAAAATTGTCTGAAAGGGACCAAGTGTGAAAACACCTTGATATTCGACAGATATCATCCCTCCTGTTGTAATAGTGTGAAACTTTTACATAATTAAATAATCTACAGTCCTCTGTTGAGGGAGATGCCAGACAGATAGAGTGCGTCCCAAATGGCACCCTATTCCTTTTGTAGTGCTCTACTTTTGATCAGGGCTCTGGTAAAGAATTGTGCACTGCATAGGGAATAGGATGCCATTTGGGATGCAGTTCTAGATGTATTTGCTGCTCAGGAACAAAGGTGTTGTGTTAGTAGTTATTAGGAGGACCCAGGAGTTTTTCCTGAATATGTGACCTGACTATAGAAACCATCAGGTCCTAGTTATAGATATGTCGTTTATAACTAGGGCCCCTAGTTTTTCCTAGTCATGTCAAAACATCCGGACAAATGTATAGTATTAATATCAGACAGCTGGGTAACATGAACAACACTTCAAGTCAACTGTTACAGACAGCTGTTCTACAGGCTGGATCAATTAAATCCATCCTGGGCTTTTGTTTTGGTATCATTAAAGAAGCAGAACAGCTTTTTATATTCTAAATCCTTTTTATTTAACCTCTGACCCCTTTTACTACCCTGAATAGTAGCTCTGCTGTTTATGTTGACATTATCTCTTTATCTCTAAAGTCTGTTGAGTTCTGTTGACCTTCTGCTAAACCCTGTTCTGTGTGTGTGTGTGTGTGTGTATAGCTGGAGGGAGATGTGGATTCCTACGTCATTGACAGAGTACTACGTTCTCCTGCTGCTGTGGCTTGTCCTCTACTGCCTGTTGGTGCTGCCACAGATCCACTACAGAGACCTGCCACGCCTACTGCTCAACCTGGACGAATGAACACGCACACTGCCATACGCATACTGATACACACGTCATGTACGTGTCACACACACGACACATACGCATGCACATACACATACACATACACATACACACACACACACACACACACTCATTCTCACAGGCATGCACACACACACACACACACACTTTGCTATCTTCTCCAGTCAACATTGTCCCTCATTCACATTGGCCCTTACCCTTTTCCTTTCAACACATTTCATATCGACAGCAAATGAAGGCTTTTTGTTATTCCAGAATAAGGTTTTTAAAGATTCTGCTCTTTGGCTTTTAATGTGACTTGAATTGATATGCTTACATAAAGACAAAACTATAACTTTTATTTTTTTCTGAGTTTGTTGATGTACAAAGAGATTAGCATTGTAAGAGTCTGTAGGATTGTACAGAGCACATCAGTTTTAAATGTTTTGTTTTCTGCAAAGAGTTTATGAATACAGTTTATGAAGCTTTGCAGTGTGCCCATTTACGTAAATGACAATTTGGTGAGTGGAAAAACGTGTGTGTTTCAGATTCATCCCATGATGTCCTTTTTGAATTTACACACCGTGAATTTACACACCGTTTGAAAAGATAAAGTTAGAAAATTGTATTTCACAGATGCACAAATATCACCTCCAAGACATGCTAACCTCTCACCATTACAATAGAAAGGGTGATTAGCATTTTTTTGGGGGGGTATGATATTTGTGCGTCTAACTTTATCACTCATCATTATTCACGATTCATTCAGGACTATCCGTAATCATGGTAGCATCCACATTAATGTAGAAGTGTATGGAAACATATTATATTCTTATTTACAATAAAAGTGACTCCAAAATGACACAATACATTATTTGCCATTCATTTCTATTGGGCACAAAGTAATGTGAAACACAACCAAAACAAACAGAAAATGCATCCAACAAGTTTGTAGAGTCACAAGCTTGATGTAATCACTGTGTGCTAGGAATATGGGACCAAATACTAAACTTTTGACTACTTTAATACACATATAAGTGAATTTGTCCCAATATTTTTGATCCCCTAAAATGGGGGTAATATGTACAAAAAGTGCTGTAATTTCTAAACAGTTCACCCAGTATGGATAAAAAGAATCAAACTAAAGCTGACAGTCTGCACTTTAACCTCATAGTTATTGTATCATTTCAATACTTTTGGAGTTCACTGTATTTACACATTTGAGATAATGCACAAACTACATTGGGAGATGAACCTAGAAGGTACTACTTGTCTTACAAGAATCTCTCAGTGGATTCTGCAGAGGCTTGGGAGTGTGTCAGTTGTGAGGCTTGGAGTGTG